CAAGGTCGTGAAAGGAGCTGGGTGTGGTGGTGGAATAGTTTGATTCCCGGTACTGGAAAAAAAAAAAAAAAAAAAAGTATTTACTACGGTCACTGAATACAAGGTCAAACTATAAAAATAAATTGTATTTCTTTGCAGCAAAGCAAAAAGAAAATATTTTTAAAATACCATTTAATATAGCAAAACGTTCAAACACCTAACACTAACCCTAATGAAAGATACAGCCGGACGTGGTGGCAACATGCCTGTAATCCCATCACACAGCAGACGGAGGCAGGAAGATTGCAGTGAGTTTAAGGCCAGTCCAGGCTACACAGTGAGTTCAAGGCCAGCCTTAACTACACAGTGAGACCTTGTCTCAAAAAACTAAGCCCCCCAAAAGATGCATAAATCATTCACCATAAAATCCGCAAAATATTATTGAGATAAATTATATAAGATCAAATTAAAGGATGGAAAGACCATGTTCACAGATTGAAAGACCCAATGTCTTATCACCAACTCCCTCCAAACTGATCTATATAGTCAGCACAATACCAATGAAACTCCTGAAAATTTGTTGATGGAAATTGAAAATCTGACTATATAAGAAAACATCAAGGACTAAGAACGGCCAAGATAATCTTAAAGACTGTAGTTGGAGAACTTACAATATCATTTCAATTAAAATGGTGTGGTTCTGGCATAAGGATAGGTGACAAAATCATATAACAGATTGGAGGAGTAGGAATAAAATCCCAAAATTATGTTCACTTGATTGATAACCAAAGTAGCATTGTAATTCAGTGGGGAGAATATAGAGTCTTGAGTCTCTAACAAATTAATTTTGACTCCAGATATAATGTTGATCTAAATATGAAATGCAAATAAACAAAAAGTTTGAAGAAGAATACTGGGAAATATCCTCCTGGCCACTCATAGGAGGTAAAGATTACTTAAATAGGACCCCCAAATTCCTCATAATAAAAAAATCAATAAATTGGACTATATGACTATAGCAAAATTTAGAATTTCAGTTCATTAAAAGATATCATTAAGAATGAGAAAGCAAGTCAAAGAGTAGAATATATTTCTAATATGTACATCTGACAAAAGATACACATTTTTACATAAAAAACAAACATTACTATTAAAGACACACAACTCAATAGAAATATGAGCAAAAGGGGCTGGGGATTTAGCTCAGCGGCAAAAGCGCCTGCCTGGCAAGCGCAAGGTCGTGAGTTCGGTTCCTGGTACCGGAGAAAAACCAAAAAAAAAAAAAAAAAAAAAAGAAATATGAGCAAAAGATCTGAACAAGCACTTCACAACAATAATATGCAAATAGTCCATAAGCTACGAAAAAATACCCAACTTCATTAGTTGTCAGGATTTGAGTAAAAATCTGACAAAAAATGTAATGTACTTTTCTCCCAAGTTATAGAGACAATATTTAGTTGTATTAGGAACTTCTTTTTCTTTCTTTCTTTCTCTTTCTTTTTTTTGGTGCTGAAGATTAAACCCAGGGGCCTCATACACGTTAAGCACACTCTCTATCACTGAGCTATACACATAGCCCCAGAAATTTCCAATATGTTCAAAATATTTCACAAAAACTAAGATATAAAATTCTGCTCACATTCAACTAAATATAAAAAACATGTTATTTTCATATTTATGTATCAACTACTCACAATATAGCAAGTACTATGATAATTACTAGGACTAATTAACATCAGGCATTTTAAAATTCTCAAAATGTAAAGATAGGAAGGAGGTGGTATAGACTATGTCAAGGGATAAAAGGATTGATCAGGGTACTAAATAATGTGGATTCTGCCCTTACTTTGTACTAGCAAACATTAATTTTGACAAAATACTTCTCTAGGCTTCAGATCTTACTTCTGTAAAATTAGATAGCTAGAATAACTATTTTAAAATTTTTTTCTAAGTCTTAAAACTGTGATACTAATAATGGTGAAGTCACCAAAGTTGTAACTGTATTTCCTTAGAATTATCTTACATACTTTAATTTGGGACTTTCAAGCATTACGACAGCATTTTGAAGGCAAATTTTGGAAATTTTCCCTCCCAAGGAACATAGTGAATAAACTGCTAATAACTGGTCAGCATTAGTCAGTAAACAGAAGATATCATGTCTTTTTAATATTTTAAATTCAACTGTAAGGTTCCTACAGCTAGAAAAAGAATGGTCAAGATGTGCTATTAAGTTTTTTTTTTGTTTTTTGTTTTTTGTTTTTTTTTGAGACAGGGTCTCCTTGTGCAGTTCAGGTTGGTCTTGAACTCACTTTGTAGCCCAGGCTGGTCTCGAACTTGCAGTGATCCTCCTGCCTCAGTCTCCCAAGTGCTGGCGTGTACCACCACACCCAAGTAGTAAGGTTTTTTTAACTTGTTCAACTTACCAAAGCTCATTAACACTTGAAGTTTTGATTATATTTGCTGTCACAAAGAAAAGACACACCAGGCACAGTATCTACATAGTCATGAAACTCCCTTTAGTGGGAAATGTCATGGGATGTGGTATCAGACAGAGTTGTGTTTTTCTTCTAGGTTAGCAACTTACCAGCTATGAGATGAACAAGTCATGTAAACTTTCCAACCTCATTTTTCTCACCTAAAAAATGGGGCTTAAAATAGCTCCTCATGCCCAAGCTCAACTAGATGTTGGACAACTTACAGGATAAGAAAGGAAATACCTGATGGTCTTACATGAACATGGCAAATACAGTACCATGAAGATTGGATGACCATTTAAAACAGAATCTTGATTTCCTATATCCTCAACTGTGTTCCTCTCCCAGTGTCTCCCAATCTATTACATGAATAAACCCAGGAATAAAACTTGATTTCCTATCCTCACCATCTCTAATACTTAATTTATCAGTGATTCTGTCACTCCTACCTTCAAAACGTATCCCTGACCACTTCTTACTGTCTTTGTTGCCAATACTCAAGTCCAAGCAGTCAGCATCCCTCACCTAGATCCTGTACCAGCTTCAATCTGCTTCTGGTTTTACTCTTCCTTCAGTGGAATCTTTACCCAGCAGTCAGTACTCTTTTTAAAATTGAAGTCAGAGTATTATCACTCCCTCTAATAGTTTACCACTGCAATGAAAATAAAATCTAAACTCCTTATGGTAGCCAGAAAAGTCCTACATAATTTGACTCCTACCTACTTCTCTGAATGCACTTATTTTGCACTCCTCTGTCCTTCGTTTACTAAGATTTAGACCCATGGTATCCTATATGGAAGCTACTGACCACATGTGGCTATTTAATTGAAATTAAAATTCAATTCCTCAGCCACCTAGCCACATTTTAGTTCTTAATAGCTGCATACAATTATGGGTACTACGTTGGACATCACAAAATAGATTTCCATCAGCACACCAAATTTGGCAGGACAGACCTTATCTAGGCTAGATAAGGTCAGACCTATCTAGGCTAGATAAGGTCAGACCTATCATGGCATTATTATTGCAATGAGTTTAAGGCCAGTCAAGGCTACACAGTGAGTTCAAGGCCAGCCTTAACTACACAGTGAGACCTTGTCTCAAAAAACTAAGCCCCCCAAAAGATGCATAAATCATTCACCCTAAAATCCACAAAATATTATTGAGATAAATTATATAAGATCATATAATAAATTATATAAAATCTGCTGAGTGCTGGGATTACAGGCATGTGCCACATCTGGCTGTATCTTTCATTAGGGTTAGTGTTATGTGTTTGAACGTTTTTGCTATATTAAGGTATCTCTTAAATATTTTCTCTTAAGTATTATGGTATCTCTTAAATATTTTCTTTTTGCTTTGCTACAAAGAAAATACAGTTTATTTGTATTTTATCACGGCATTCTCCAGGACAGACCTATCATGGCAAACTCATTCCTACATTTAGGGCTTTGTACTGGCTACCCTTCATCTGGAATTCTCTTCTCAGGTTTTGTGATGGCATAATTACCATAATTGCCATAATTCAGGTTTCAACTCAAATGAATCTCTTTAGGGAAATTTTCTAAATTTAGATTGGACTGCCCAATCTGAAATACTTCCTCAATCTTCCTATCCCTAGATATTCTTTTTTTTTTTTTTTTTGTACCTGGAATCGAACTCAGGACCTTGCGCTTGCCAGGCAGGTGCTTATGCCACTGAGCTATATCCCCCGCCCTATCCCTAGATATTCTCTACCCCATTCCCCATTTTATTTTCTTCATAGCACTCATCATTACACGAAATTATTTCGTTTTGTTCTTTTCTCTTTCTGCCCCTAGAACAAAAGCTCCATGGGGCTCCATATTTGTCTATTACAGCTATATCTCCAGTGACACACAGGAAATAGAAAATAAATTGTTGAATATCCCAGTGCAGTAGCAGATGCCTGTAATCCTAGCTGTTAGGGGTGGGGGGAGCAGAAGAATAGCAAGTTCAAGACAAGCCTGGGCAATTTAGGGAGTCCCCGTCCCAAAATAAAAAATAAAAAGGTCCAATGATATAACTCTAGGATGGAGCATTTGCCCCGCCATGTACTAAACTCCAAGACTGAGCCCCAGCGCTGTAGGGGGTGAGTATTATTGAACAAAGTAAAAACTGAGATTTATAATTCTAATTCCAGTGGAATTTTAATTGAGTCACTATTCTCTTTGAACACCAGTTCTCCTTTTTAAAGAGACAGATTTGCCAGGCATGGTGGCACATGCCTCTAGTCCCAGCACTTGGGATGCTGAGGCAGGAGGACTGCTGTGAGTTCAAGGCCAGCCTGAGCTACATAGTAAAGGCCAGTCTGAACCGCATAGTGAGACCCTGTCTCAAAAAAAAGGATAGATTCCACTGAATTAGATAATTAGTAAGATTTCTTTCATTTTACCACTGAGATTCTTTGTGAATCTCAGAAAATTTGGTTCTCTTTTAGATAACTATACTTCCTTTATTTCCGTAATGAATTACAATTCAATTCAAATATAATTCAATTACAATAAATCAGTAGTATTCAATACAAACCTCCATCAAGGCTCCGGGATGCCCGTTTGCTTGCTGTACGTTCAAAGTGTGGGGCAGGCCTGTCAATTAGAGCACTAGCTTGCCTGGTCTGAGCTTGAGTCCGGCCACTGTAACGAAATTTGGATCCCAGGGCAAGAAATTTGCTTTTGGGAATGGTATCTGTAGAAGTCAGTCTGGGGAGAAAAAGTATTTTTAAAAAAATTTATTTTATTGGTATATTTTAGATGTACATGATGATAACAGTCATAGGGAATTTGTACTTTTGCATGATATATCCTGCTTTTTTCCCTATGAAACAATTAAGTCATATAATTAATATATATGTAGTTATCTTATTCTGAGACTGTAAAGTTAAAAATAAAATAAAAAATAAAAATGTTTCACAATTCTCATGGCTTAACTATAGTTAGTAAGAGATTTTTCAATTAAGCAATCATTTAGTTCTACATCATATCTGAAAGCAAGCATAATTTAATTGGGACCTATGTTAATAATATCGTCTTATATTTCTATAGCTAGTGTCTTTTGGCTTTCAACATAGTTTTACAGTACTGCAATATTTTCACTACATCCCTGCAATGTTTTCACCATTTTATAGATACAAGAAACTGAATACCCAAAGTTAAAACCTGGGCAGTAACAAAGTTCAAATCCAGGTCTGACTTTAGTTAGTTAAGGGCGATCATAGATCACAGACCACCTAGTGAACAAAGATTCTTATGCCTCACTTCTCTCCTATTGTACAATGGAAGGGGCTTTGAGAATGTTAAGGCACACTTTTCAGCCCAAATGGGGAGACCAGATTTTGTCTTAACATGATCCAATCTGAGCTAAATAGAAGTGCCAGTCACATGAAGAAAATTTCAATAGCAGCCTTAAAATAGAAACATGCATAAATAATCTGTCCCTGAATAATATTTAAGTGAGAATACTACCTGAAAAATGTGTGATGCTCTACACAGACTTTCCATAATTTCTTAGCTGCTCGGTAACTGGGAAGTTTGAATCCAATGGTACTTTCATACTGTTCTTGCTAAAAACATACAAATAAACATGAAGTATTATTTGACCACACTGATACAATACTGCAGAAATATGGTACCACCAATGAAGTCATTGTAACTATAGAGGACATTACCAATTTAAAGACAAATTATCATTTGAAATGTTTTTCAGGTGTGTACTGGTGCAAGCCTGTAATCCCAGCACTCAGGAGGCTGAGACAGGAGGATTGTGATGAGTTCAAGGCCAGCCTAAGCTATATAGTGAGTTCAAGGTCAGCCTGAACTACATAGCAAGACCTTGTGTCAAAAAAGGGAAAAGTTTTCCATATTGACGCACAATGAAGTACTACTCTGCCATAAAGAAGAATAAACTTGAGTCACTCATAGGCAAATGGATACATCTTGAGACCACAATTTATTAAATGAAATAAATCAGACAAACAAACTTAAATATTGTATGATCTCTCTTATACAAGGAACCTAAAATATAGATAAAGAGCAAAATAAAAGATAAGAAGTAGAAAGATCTTCTTCAAATGGGAAGAGAAACTAGAGACAAAAGGACAGGGAGGGAGGGAAAGGTGATTTAAAAAAAAGAATTGGAAAAAAGTAGAGAGGGAGCTTTTGCAAATGGGAAGGGGACTAGAAATGAAAGGAGCAGGGAGGGGAGAAGGAGATGAAAAAAATTAAGATGTGTTATGCACATGTACCAGCTCCTCAGGAGAAATGTAATCATTATGTACTGCAAACATGTACTAATAAAAAATACAAACTGAAAAAAATAATTAAAAAAGAATTACCAAATGAAAATTGTATGTGTTTATTATGTTCGGGCATGTTGTTTTGAAGTATGCATACATTATAGAATAGCTAAGTCAAGCTAATTCATATATTAAGTCATATCATTTTTTTGTGATAAGAATATTTAAAATTTACTCTTAGCATATGGGGGGGATGCTTTGTGTTGGGGATTTAACCAAGGGCTTTACGCATGCCAGGCAACTCTCAGCAATTTTCAAGAATTTGGTATATTACACTGTTAACTATAGTCACCATGTTGTGTAACAGGTTTCCTGAACTTATTTCCAAAATTCTTGAATTACTAAATGTTTTCTCTTTGTTCTTTTGATTGGCCATTAATTGGTCTAGATACATCTTTGACTGAAGCAAACCGTATCCTTCCGGGCATACTACTACTACTCTGTTGGTCTCATGCCTTTTTGCTTCTGCCTTAAGCATACTTTATAAGATAAAAAAATGACATTTGTTTTGAGTGCCTACTGTTGTGAATATCACTATATTAGATCAAATTATCTGTATTTTTATACATGAAGAAACTAAGGTCAGAAAACTTAAGTGCTTGGTCTCACAGCTATGAAATAGCAAAACCATATCACTTTCTCCACTGTAAATCATCTACTGTAGTCATAATACTTCATTTGCTGGGTATGGTGGCCCATGCCTGTAATCCCAGCACTTGGAAGGCTGAAGCAGGAAGATCGTTGCAAATTTGAGATCAGCCTGGGCTATAAGTGAGCCCAAGGCCAGTCTGAACTGCATAGCAAGACCCCGTCTCAAAAACAAACAAAAAAACCCCAAACAAACAAATAAAAATATAATACTCCACTTCTCAGAATCCTATTCTTGATTGCTTTCGTAACTAAGGGTGCTACATTTTAGTATAAATAGTTGACAGCTACAAAGACTAAGGACATCCCACTACCATCTTACTAGTTGTATATTATCTGTCTTCTCACATTATTATGTAAGATTGTTGAGAGATGTGATGCTTTTGTTTATTGTTATATTTCTAGCCCCTAGAATAGTAATGGACACAAAGAAGGCAATCAATAAATATTTGTTGAATTTGAAACTTTGAGGGAAGACACTGATGCTCTATGCTAGGCACAGGTTAATAGTTATGGTACAGGGATGGAGATATAGCTCCCAGAAAACTGGGAGAACTCTTGCTCAGCATATGCAAGGCCCTGTGTTTGATCCCCAACACCACAAAATTTTTTTAAAAGTACAAAATAATACATCAAAATACATCAATGATAATCCCCACTCAAGTTTTATTTTTCAGGGAGAACACACACAAAGTTTTATTGGGGGTACAAGGCAGACAAGTGAACCCAGAGTGATCCCTGTAACACTGCAAGCCAGGATGGAGCACAGCTCGGGCCCAGAAAGACTGGGACAGGACAACAATGGGGGGTTTGAGTCCGTGGGCTGGGCTCTCTGAGTTTACAAATGTAGAACACTCTGAAAGGAGATGGGGAGGGAAAGGGCTCCCCCTATACTTCCTCTCAGGGTTAAGGCGTCCCCAGGCCTTAAAACTCAAATTTCTTTAGCTAGGGGGCAAGGTGCAGGAAAAGACAGGAAGAGCGACCCCCTTCCCTAGTGTCCCGTCTTCCCCAGCATAGGCTGTGGCAGGCACGGGTAGGAGTGATCACATTCCAGTCACAGCAGGAGTCTTCCCTGCCCCTGGAATGCCAGCACACTGGCAAGAGGGAAGGGGAACTGGAGGGCCAGCAGCAGCCAGACATTTTCCCTGGCCCACCACATCCTACTGTTTTAGAGAGAATAATTGTCTTTTTACCCGCACTAACACTGAAGCCTGGGAAAAGTAGGTGGAGGGGCCCAGCGATCTCGAGACCAAGCTTTATCTCCAGTATGGAGCCAGTTGCCACTTTTGTGCCAAAAAAAAAAAAAAAGGTCCTCTTTCTGGGAATATATGGGGAAACTGGGCAGCTTCCCACTTTCCTAGGACAGGAAGGAGCAAATACATTCATCCCACCCAATTTTTAAGGCAGCACATTCAAAATTTCCATGTTCACCTAGTGAACCATTTTTTGCCAGCAGATGGTGATATATACACAAAAAAGCCACCTTACATTAGTAGGGCTCTGTTTAGAGCTTTCACAGTTGTCTTGGTACTGGATCTTCAAATCAACAGGGGTGAGGGAGGTGGTTAATCCTTCTTAAATGATAAGGAAGCTTAGTTTTAGATTTGTCCAGAGTCTTGTTTAGTAAATGACAGAGAGCTTTTTAAAAAAAAATTTAATTCCTACTTAAGCAGTTTTCTACTATACCATAACAGCTCTTTAGCATAAAAATGAAAACTGCTAGCATTAATATATTCTGAAATTTGACCACCAACTAATAAGTGAGTTATCTGGTACAAGGTTGAATATAATACTCTATTTAAATTCTAGAACTTAGGCATGAGGCCATGGATTCAATCCACCCTCCATCAAATCTGGAACTTGACCCTAGAATATATTTTCAGTAACCTCTATATACAAATAAATTTAAATTATAGAAGGTAAAGGTCTGGTACTATAAAACCTGAGTAATTCAATCCCATATATAACTTATAAATCTCATGCAACTCAATTTAAAATTTTTTCCATCAATTTTTCTGCCATGAGTAAACAAGAAACGATTTATCGATCCAGGTTTCATTTTTAGCAATGGCATATTTACTTACAAGAAGAGAAATGTCCAGAAGACCAATAGCAAGAAAGAAAAGAAGCATTAAAGGACTGATCCATTTAGAAAACAAAATGATAAGCCCCTAAGTAGAGATAACTGTAGCGGTAACTCTCAGATGACGTAACAAGGAAAATGGGAACGAGGAGATGCTTTAAACATTATATTTGGCTTGGGAGGAAAGAAATGAATTCTGTACCTCTCCAGGCCGGATCTTGATGAAAAAACTGCTACGTTTATAAGAGATCTTCAGTACTTTGGGCCAAGGAAAACGGTTAATTCTTAACTTATCTTTGTAAACCAAAAGGCCACTAGAGCAGACACCTAGGATGATATCCACTCCTTCCAAGTCCTAAAAAAGAAATAATCAGCATTTCAGTCTTACATGCTCAACACATTGTTGACAATTATTAGATAATCTGAAGATTACCAAAATCAGTTTCAAAGCAAATGATGAAAAATAAAGCTTCACCTAACCATCATAATCCATCAGAGTACTATGCTTACATCAGCAGACATGACTTCTTAGAGCCAGGGCTTAGGTTCATGTATGCTACCAAATACACACGCACAATTAGAATTCTTTTTTAATGATAAAGAGGTAATTCCTTCAGATATGATGTTAAGAATTGACTCTATTCCTATATAAACTCAACGTAAGAGAATCTCAGATTCTTGAGATAATTGATGTTAAGTATATTAAATTATAATCACTGAGTCTATGCCTGGCAAGCACAAGGTCCTGAGTTTGATTCCCAGTAGCAAATATATATATATTTTTATGTGTGTATGTGTATATATATATATACACATACATACACACATACACACACATATATAAAATCACTGAGCCTAGAAGAAAAATTAAGGCAAAATGAAGCCATATTTATATGCCTCTAAAGAAATTTTTAAAATATTAACCATTTATGTCATTCAAGGAAAACAAATTTCACCTGAGTTATCTCTACCAATGACTATTTGTTTAGCTAAATAATTAAAAGTTACATGCTTCTGACTGACTACTCTTTTTCCTAAAATAATTACAGAGAAAAATATGAGTGCCCACTGATGTTTATACAAGTGTAACAAAGATGCAGAAAGTATATACAGCTTCAATTCAATGACTATATAACTGAAAATTTACCAGAAGATACCCTCTTAAGTTTTCAAAGCCTGTGGATACAACTAATCTCTTTTTTCAAAGTAACAATCTGCTTTACAACATTTGGGAAAGGAACATTCTGTCTGACTCCATCCACTCCTGATTGACAACAAGCTCCAGCAAGAAACAAGAAGTAAAACCTAACAATTTTAGTTCTGGACATACACCTTATCTAATATACTGATATTCCTACCATCTACTTTAGAGATTCATAGAAGTTACAGTACCCAGCCTAAAACAATCCAGAGCAACATCTTAAAGAAAAGCCACAAATATGCATTAAAATTTTAGTAACTCAAGGAAGAAATACCTGTTCAGGATGAGGAAGCCCTGAAAGGTCATTTAAGACCAATCACAGACCAGGTGTTTGAATGTCCTTTTTAAAAATTCCAACCAAATGATTAGTATGCCTACCCTGGAATACCTGCAGGGAGCTCAGAACCCTCTCAGGTAGCCCACTCCATCTTTGAAAAGCTCTGCTAGACAATTTTTCAAACTGAGCTGAACAACATATTTCCCTATAGTTTCCATTTTACTACTTCTAGGTTTGTATCTTGGAGCCATGGTAAAATCCCTGCTTCACATGCCATTCTTTTAATACACACAAACAGATATTACATCTTCCCAGAACTTTTCTCTTTGTGGGCTTAAATAGCCTCGTTCCTTTGATTGTGTCCTATTGGATATAGTTTTGAGTCTGCTCATCATTCACACTAGTTAATTTCCTCTGAATGAATTTCTGATTACTCCTGTGTGTCCTGTTCCTCACAAGCTCTTCAATATCCCCAGCCAGTCTAACTACCTGAATAGGAAAGAAACCAAGCAACGTGCCTTAAATATTCAGTCTGTTAGGCAGAACTAAGATAAAAGCACCTATAATTCCAGTATTTGGGAGGCTGAGGCAGAAGAACTGCAAGTTTGAGTCTCACATAGAAAACTTAGGTAGACTGTCTCAAAATAATAAATGAAGAGGGTTGGGGGTGTAGCTCAGTGGGGGAGGCCCTGGGTTCAATCCCCAGTACTGAGGAAAAAAACTGAAAAAGAACAAATTTCCATACTCTAATCTAGTTGTTCTCAAATGAGCCACAGCAGTTCATTCAGTACACATCAAAATCACACTTGGAGAATTTGTTAAAACAGATTGCTGAGCTCCACCCCTAGCTTCTGATTCAGTGTGGAGAAAGGGCATTTCTAACAAGTTGTTACCACATTTTGAGAACCACTACTCTGGGCCAATGGTTCTCAGATTCAAGCAGGTATTAAAATCAGTTAGGAGGCTCATTAAATCTGGAAATGCTAGAGCCTCTCCTCCAAAGTAAGTCTGTAAATCTGGGAGGACCTCAGGAATTTAAGTTTAACAGGCACCCCAGGTGATTTTGGCTTGGTGATACCAGCAATGAAATATGTCTTGCTGTCGATCTATATTTTTTAATGTAATTGTAGTTTAGAAAAATATAATTTCAGCCGGGAGTGGTGGTGCATGCCTGTAATCCCAGCACTTGGGAGGCTGAGGCAGGAGGGTCATTGAAAGCTCGAGACCAGCATGAGTTACAAAGTGAGCTCAAGGGGGCTAGGGGTTTAGCTCAGCGGCACAGCATCTGCTTGGCAAGCGCAAGGTTGTGAGTTCGATTCCTGGTACTGGAAAAAAAAAAGAAAAAAAAGAAAAAACAAAACAAAACAAAGTGAGCTCAAGGCCAGCCTGAACTGCATAGAGAGACTGTGTCT